GTTGTGTTTAATATTGTCCCAGAGGTCTCTTAGGCTATCTTCATTGCTTTTCATTCTTTATTCTGTTCTGCAGGAGTGAATTTCACCATTCTGTCTTCCAGCTCACTTAATCCGTTCTTCTGCTTCAGTTATTCTGCTATTGATTCCTTCTAGTGTATTTTTCATTTCAGTTATTGTATTGTTTATTTCTGTTTGTTTGTTCTCTAATTCTTCTAGGTCTTTGTTAAACATTTCTTGCATCTTCTTCATCTTTGCCGCCTTCCTTTTTCCGAGGTCCTGGTTCAGCTTCAGCTTCACTGTCATTATTCTGAATTCTTTTTCTGGAAGGTTGCCTATCTCCACTTCATTTAGTTGTTTTTCTGGGGTTTTATCTTGTTCCTTCATCTGGTACATAGCCCTCTGCCTTTTCAGCTTGTCTGTCTTTCTGTGAATGTGGTTTTTGTTCCACAGGCCGCAGGATTGTAGTTCTTCTTGCTTCTGTTGTCTGCCCTCTGGTGGATGAGGCTATCTAAGAGGCTTGTGCAAGTTTCCTGATGGGAGGGACTGGTGGCAGGTAGAGCTGGGTGTTGCTCTGGTGGGCAGAGCTCAGTAAAACTGTAATCTACTTGTCTGCTGATGGGTAGGGCTGGGTTCCCTCCCTGTTGGTTGTTTGCCCTGAGGCATCCCAACACTGGAGCCTACTTGGACTTTTTGGTGGGGCTAATGGTGAACTCTGGGAGGGCTCAAGCCAGAGAGTACTTCCCAGAACTTCTGCTACCAGTGTCCTTGTCCTCACAGTGAGACACAGCCACTCCCCGCCTCTGCAAGAGACCCTCCAACACTAGCAGGTAGGTCTGGTTCAGTCTCCTATGGGGTCACTGCTCCTTCCCCTGGGTCCCGATGTGCACACTACTTTGTGTGTGCCCTCCAAGAGTGGACTCTCTTTTTCCCCCAGTCCTGTCAAAGTCCTGCAATCAAATCCCGCTAGCCTTCAAAGTCTGATTCTCTGGGAATTCCTCCTCCCATTGACTGACTCCCGGGTTGGGAAGCCTGACATGGAGCTCAGAACCTTCACTCCAGTGGGTGGACTTCTGTGGTATAAGTATTCTCCAGTTTGTGAGTCACCCACCCAGCAGTTACGGGATTTGATTTTATTGTGATTGCACCCCTCCTACCGTCTCATTGAGGCTTCTCCTTTGTCTTTGGATGTGGGGTATCGTTTTTGGTGAGTTCCAGTGTCTACCTGTCGATGATTGTTCAACAGTTAGTTGTGATTTCGGTGCTCTTGCAAGAGGGAGTGAGCGCACGTCCTTCTGCTCCACCATCTTGAACCAGTCTCCTCCCCAATATCATTTATTGAAGAGGCTGTTTCAGGCCTTGAATTCCAGTCTGTAATCCATTTTGAGTTAATTTGTATATGGTGTAAGATAGTCGTCTAGTTTTATTTTTTTGCATGTGGTGGTCCAGTTTTCCCACCAGTATCACTTATTGAAGAGACTGTCCTTTCTGCAGTGTATTTTTTTCTTCTTTTGTCATAGATTAAATGTCCATATATGCATGGGTTTATTTCTGGGCTTTTTATATTCTGTTCCATTGATCTATGTGTCTGTTTTTGTGCCGGTATCATACTGTTTTGTTTACTATAGCTGTGTAGTATAGTTTGAAATCAGGGAGTGTGATACCACCAGCTTTGTTCTTATATCTCAAGATTGTTTTGGCTATTCAGAGTCTTTTGTGGTTCCATACAAACTTTAGAATTATTTTTCCTGGTTCTGTGAAATCTGCCACTGGCATTTTGTAGGGATTGCACTGAATCTGTAGATTGCTTTGGGTAGTATGCACATTTTAACAATATTCTTCCAATCCATGAGCATGGAATATTTTTCCATTTTTTGAGTATCTTCAGTTTTTTTCATCTGTGTCTTATAGTTTTCAGTGTACAGTTTTTCCCGTCCTTGTCAAATTTATTCTTAGGTCTTTTATGCCTGGTAAATATTTATTGGATGCTAGACATTGTGAATTTTACTTTGGTGAGTGCTAGGTATTTTTGTATTCTGGTAAATATTCTTTTTTTTTTTTTTTTTTTTTTGGTAAATATTCTTAAGCTTTGTTCTGGGACACAGTTCCTTGGAAACAGTTTTATCATTCTGAGTCTTGCTTTTAAGATTTGTTAAGTGAGAACAGATTAGTGTTTAGTGCTAATTATTTCCCACTACTGAGAGCCTTCTGAGTCCTCTACTCATATCTCTCTGAAATGAAGTTTTCAGTCTGGCTTTTGGGAAAAGGAACTCTGTGTGAGCTCTAAATACTCATCCCTCTAATCCTTTCAGGTGGTCCTTTGCCATGGCCAGGAAGCTTTTGCAAAGCTCACCTTCTGTGTTTTCTGTCTCTTAGGGATCTTTCTTGCTTCATTATGTCCAATGTCTTGAAAACCATTGTTTTTTTTTTTTGTTCAGTCTTTTGTTTGTTTCAGGCAGGAGGGTAAACCTGGTCTCTATGCCATCTGCTGGCAGTGGAAGCACTTTTTTTTTTTTTTTTGCGGTATGTGGGCCTCTCACTGCTGTGGCCTCTCCCGTTGTGGAGCACAGGCTCCGGACGCGCGGGCTCAGCGGCCATGGCTCACGGGCCCAGCCACTCCACAGCATGTGGGATCTTCCCGGAATGGGGCACGAACCCGTGTCCCCTGCATCGGCAGGTGGACTCTGAACTGCTGCGCCACCAGGGAAGCCCAGCACTTTTATTTTTAATTAAAATATTTTAATTAATTATGGAAATCTCAAACAAGTACAGAAGTATAGTGAGTGGTATGATGCATCCCCACATACCCATCACCCAGCATCAGTAATTACCATCTCTGAGCCAGTCTTGTTTTATCTTTTAACACTTCTGCCTCTGCCTCTCAACCCCTCTGGATTATTTTGAAGCAAATCATATCATCTCAACCATAAATATTTTAGTATACATCTCTATTATATACCAAAGCAGTTCCTCAAAAGTGTTTCCACAATACCATTTACATACCTAAAGTACTTATTTCTTTGAACCTCTTAGTGTTGTGTCTTTGTTCACGTATTCCTAATTTTCTCACAGTTTTGCTTGTTTGTTATTTTTAAAGTTGGTTTGTTTGAAAAAGCATCCAAATAAAATTTCCTTTTCTTTTTTAATTACCATTCCTTCTCACTTTGGACTTGAAATTATTACAGACTCTTGACATCATAAACCATATTATAACAGGATCTTTCCATCTGGTTTCTTTAGCCCCATTCACTGCCTCTCCTTCCCATAGCCACCAGTTCTCTCCCACCAAAACTTTTGATCCATCTTGCTTCTTCCTAAAATATACATATGGTAATGCTGTTCTTAAGCTTAAAAACCTTCAGTGAATAAGCAAGGTACAGAAAAATGTGTATGGTATGCCTTTCTTTATAGAAAACTTAGAAGTAGTATATATGCTTATATCTGTGTACTGCTTCAAGAAGGATACATAAATTATTGACAGTGGTTGCTTCCTAAGAGGGAAACTAGATGACTGAAGTGAGAAGACTTAGTTTTTTAATATTATATTTTATTTTGTTTGAATTATTTTATTTATGTAATTTATTCATTTTAAGTAAAAGGAAAAAATTTTTAAATACTGAGTAAATTATAAGAATATGAACTTGGTGTTCAGGAAGCTTCCACTATGTGGCTCCCACCTCTTTTCCTTTTGCTTCCAGCCAGGATGCAGCCCTCCAAGGTGGCATTTAATGGAAATGTGTCAGCATGGCCTTGGTGTCACAGAGTCTAGAGATTACTACCAACATTAGCACAGGGGCCCAGGATTCTAAATTTTCTGTAGTGCTTAGGGTGGTTCTACCTAAAATGTCTTTAGGTCACCTTTGAGGATCATTTTTCTCCCCAGGGAGTTTAATATTATATCCATTCTTTGGTTTTGGGTTCTACCTAAGCTTTAGTTTTCCCATTCCTTTGATGCGCCATTCTTTCTGTCCTAAATATCTTTTTTGTTCATCTTTACCTTTCTGGTAAGCCTCTATTGCCTATTTTTATAGGTATTCGTATGTATAAATTATTTTTCACTTGAAAGTTTGAACTTTTTATGGGGAGAGATATACTTCCTTTGAGGTTTTGTAATCTTTAGCAAGTTTGACTCTGTGTTTCAGTTTTGATAAAAAGGGGTATGATAATGTAGCTATATTCTGGATTGTTGTAGGGATTAAATTAATGCATGTAAGGAATTTAGAACAGTATGTTATGTAGATTATAGTATGTTGCACAATGCTTTACATATAGTAGGCATTCATTCAGTAAAGTTTTTGGAATATTTGGAGTATTGATGAATAAATGAATATTATTCTTAGTTTTCAGAGATTAATGTAAATACAAACTAGGTCTTTTTTTTTTTTTTTTACAACTAGTATTCATTAATTAATTGATTCAAGAAATAATCGAGTGTTTCCTTTGTGCTAGGCAGTAGTGCGAGGTTTCGGGAACACATGGTGACTAAAGACTAACTGTGTGTTCTTTTAAGGAGCTTACGTAAATACTTATTGAAATATGAGTTCTATAAGAGTATAACATGGAGGAGCCTAAAGTAATTTTGCTGGTAAATATCAGCTTTCTCTGATTGAAAATAAGTCTGAAGAATTTCCTGTGGTATACCAAATTGTTATACCTTTATTTTGCTTGCTTTAGAAAATAGAATCAGCCACTGTATCCAACATGATAATCTTAGCTGCCAACATAGTTTTTCCTATTAATAACAATAATAATAATCAGTAATTGTCTTTACCTCATGTTAATGGAATTTTGGACATCTCTGAGAGCTTGAAATTGAGTTTCTTTGTTTCAGATGATGGTTCTATTTATATAATGGTTATTGTAAAATTAGGTATATCATGAAATTTCTGTTAGTTTAATTTCATTGTCGTAATTAGGAGAGAAGCTTTGAAATTTGTCTGATTCTTCAATTTAATATTTGTGATTTCATATTTAGAATTGTTTTATATTTCTCTACATATTAGGTATTAAGTCCACAAAAGTTGGAATTGTTACGAGCTGAAATACAACAAGAACTAGAAACTCCAATGAGAGAATGTTTTAGGCATCTGGATGAAGTAAGTAATTTGTATAGAAGGACTGTGCATTTATCTACATGTGACTGTGAAAGGCTTGAGGAAACGCATCATTCTCCTACTCAAAAGCCCTGCAACAGCTTCCGTTCTTACTCAGAGTCCTTATAGCAGCCTTTAAGACTGCACACGATCAGATCACATTCTTGTGTCCACATTTGGCCTTCTTGGTGTTTCTTTGGCACTTCAGAAATGGTGCAGTTCAAGTCTTTGCCCTAGCTGTTATTCCTGCCACATATCTCTTGGCTAATTTTCTCATCTTTTTTAAGTCTGCTGAAATTTCACCTTTCCAGTAGGGCCTACTTTGACCAACCCCTGCCTCCTTTTAATATTGCAACTTGCCTTTCCTGTCACTTTTTAGACTTTTGGATACCCATTTACCCTGCTCTACTTTTTATTTTTCTCTAGTATTTATAACCTTCTAATATGCTATATAATATTTATTGTGCTTATTTTTAAAATTTTCCCTTTTACAACTGCTAGAATGTAAGTTGTATGAAAGGAGGAACCTTTATCTGGTTTTGTTCACTGTTAGAGTCCACATTCCTAAAACACTTCCTAGCATACAACAGGTGCTCAATTCATGTTCGCTGAATGAAAGAATGAATTTCATGCAGCCTCAGAAAAGTAAAAATTTGTTAGTTTTTCTTCAGATTGAGATCAGTCTCCTCATATGAAATGTTGGTATGTTTAATAAAGGGAACAGGAAGAGATGACAGATATTGACTATATTAGGTACTATCCTAGACATTTTATACGTTATCTTATTTAATAAACATACTGGGCCTTATACATACAAATGAATATTGTCCCCCTCAAAATGGTCCCCTTTGGAAAGTTGTAGACTAGTGATGCTGTCATTGCACAAAACAGTTGTGGGAATCCTCATTTATAAATGATTTTCTGGCTTGATAAAGTCATCTTTTCAATATCATCCTGATGGGTAACCAGAGCATTATGGTTTAGGAGTAGATTTAATTTTGGATTATAAAAAATTACTTAAATCTGAGGTAGGTGATCAAGTTAAGTAAAAGCATGTTTGTTTGTTTTTTAAAAAAAGTATGTTTCTAATAAAATCACAAAACCCACTTTCTTGGTTTGTAAACAGGCTTAGAAATCTTTCAACTAAAGATTTATAGTGAGCTGAGTATCTTAGGAGGCATGCTTTCCTTGTTAATTCCCTGATGTATGTTGGAATAGTGTCTCCATCTTCCTGCTCTGTTGCCTGAGTTTTTATTGAGATTCAGAATGCCAGCAGCTTTTGAAGTGTTAGGAAGCAGAATTTTAGAGCATAGGCATTGCATGTGTTCTTGGTTAGTCAGGAGAGTTGGTGCTACATATATACTTCAGACTAGTGTGTTGAATTGGACTATCATTGTAATATTTGACTGAACCTTGAGTTACTGTACTAAACATTCAAATAATCATTTACCTACTTAGAATTCATCCTTTTTGACTTTTAAGGGGGTATTTTATATTTTATTATAGAATTAATTTTTAAAATCTATTTTGAAAGGTGTGCTACATTTTTAAATATTATTTTATTAAGCCCAGAGGTCAAAAGTTTTGATATGCTAATACATTTTTATTATTAGAATCAGTGAGGAAATAAGATTAATTGAAGGGTAATTTGTTTTACTGATACCTTTTCAGGAGTGTGCTAGTTCTGTTTGTAGCATTCTTGCAATGAGAACTTTTCCAAGATTTGTTTATACTTCTGTTAAGCTTAATTTTTTACTTTTAGAATGGCTCTTAGTATAAAACAACTTAAAATTTTTGAAAAGGTGATTTTTGAAGTGAGTACAAATTTCATTTATAAATTTGTGATAAATTACAATCTTCTTTTAATTTAGGAAGTAGAAAAGTATAGAGCTGAATATAATAAACTTCGCTATGAGCATACATTTCTCAAATCAGAATTTGAACACCAGAAAGAAGAATGTGCACGTATTTTAGAAGAAGAAAAAATAAAATACGAATCAGAGGTGAGTGACTGATTATACTAGTTTAGTCATTATCCTGCTAGTCAATAAAATTTTATGATTTTATATTTTTTGTGAATCTCAACCTAAAGTTGATTGCATAATTGTTTTATTAATTAATGGTTAAGTATTTGTCATGATTTTCATCTGCTCTATAGCAACATTTTTCTGGTGAATGTTCTTTTTGGACTGTTAAAAGAGGAAAAGATGAAGAAATTTTATTTTGCCCCAGTCAGTGGTGATAGATAGCAGAGACAGACTTCTCTTTGCAAATACAGTTTGTCTGTGTGATTGCTTATTTAGCACTGTCCCCCTCTACTTATTGGAATCAAACCATGTTCAGGAGAGCTCTGGCTGTCAGCCCACGCTCCTTGTTTCCACTGATACAAACAAAGGGTTTATACATTAGGGTGTGCCCATCACCATCACTTCGTTCTTTATGGCATCTACAACTGCAACATTCTGTCTCTGATGCCTATAGCCTATACCCCTATTCTCTATCTATTAAGTTTGGCAGCCTCTCTTCTCATTTTGTCGTTTGTCTCCTAATTTTGCCAAAAACGAGGTTTGTGTCTCTTATTCTTCATGTTGCTTTTAGGTGATTTTTCAGGATGGAAAGAGAGAAATATCAGTTTTATGTTGCTATATTCAAATAAGAAATCTAATGCTAGTTGAATTTATTAAAAAATAACTTGTTGGCCGTACTTACATGAAGCATTCTATGTACAAACACATCTTCATAATACATTTATTGCATTGACTTTATTTGGAATTAAGAGCTAAAATATACTCTCCTTCCTTTACAAATTACTAATTGGATCAGACTGATTTCTTCTTATCAGTGAGCAGATTCCTCCATGATTGTTTGAAAAGTAAGAAGTTGAATGAACTTTGGATCATTTGAGTCCATTAAGAATTTGGTACCAAAAAACTATAAATAATTATAGTCTTTTTCATTAAAAAAATTATTTATTTTTTTTTACATATGATCTCATGTCTATTATGGTCAGTGATATGGAGCAGGACCGTCTTATTTTCTCCATTTTAAATGGCGACACTGAAGCATGAGATAAGTGACTTGCCCAAAGTCTCACAGAAACTCAGCAGCCAAGTTAACAGTAGAACTCAGGTACCCCAACTCCCACCCAGAGTTTTAAGTTTCAAATTATTAATGATTTGAGGTTGCCATGCTAATTAGGGGCCATCTAACCGCTGTAATATTGTAGAGAGATCAATTGATTTATATTATGTAAGATTTTGAAAGATTTTGAGTCTGTAATTATGATAGACTTAAAGGAACTACATATAAAAATTTTCCTGTGGAAAAAAAAGAATGATAAAAAGATTTCCAACCTAAAATGTAGATTTAGTAAATTGAAGAGTCACTACTGAGGCTGAAGATAGTGATGCTTTATTTTATACTTTGCTTTTAAAATCTAATGTTGGGGCTTCCCTGGCGGCGCAGTGGTTGAGAGTCCGCCTGCCGATGCAGGGGACACGGGTTCGTGCCCCGGTCCGGGAAGATCCCACATGCCGCGGAGCGGCTGGGCCCGTAAGCCATGGCCGCTGAGCCTGAGCGTCCGGAGCCTGCGTGCCCGGAGCCTGTGCTCCGCAACGGGAGAGGCCACAACAGTGAGAGGCCCGCGTACCTCAAAAAAAAAAAAACAAAACCAAAAACAAACAAACAAACAACAACAACAACAAAAATCTAATGTTGATGTTTATCTGGTAATGATTATTTGTATTCTGTAGTTTCTAGTTTTATTGTGTTTTTAAACAATGAAACCTGCATCTGAAACCTGATGCCTATTCTATTTTTCACTCATGAAAGGCCAAATGATATTCTTTAAAAATTTTAAGGTGCCAGTGGCATCTTAAATAATTTTCTAATTGGAATGTCTTATGACATCCTTAGAAATCTGGAGATAAACCGCTAGCTAAGAAGCTATGATTAGTAAAGGCTAGAAAAGTAAAACTTTCTAATAAGACTGAAGTTCTCATATGAGTGTGTTTCATGTTTGGTAATTGCAATTGTTGTTGCTTTTGTTGTGGTCATCCATTTACAATGCTTGGTGTCAGCTTATCTCTTGTAAAAATAAAATACAGTGTGTGTGTGTGAGTTGTGGGGGAAAAAAAAAGACTGAAGTTCTCTCCTTTCTACTTCCTAGTTGATTATGCAGGAGTAATATTAATTAGTGGATAATTGGCTGTCTGCTTTCGTTCCATCACTTATCTTTACACTCCAGTTTCTCTTTACAATTAAAGTAAAAACTAGTGAGATGATGTGGACACAAAACAGCAGTAAAACTTCAAAGTAAAGCCTACTCTTGCCATCTATCAACTTTACAATTTTAACTGGTATAAAATATATTAGCTTGGTGTACTAAAAATAATCGGATTTTCTTGCATTAATTAAGGACTCACACAATACTGTACATTTTCACTTCTACAGATAAAAGAAATAACTGAATATTCTTTAGTGTTTTGTTTCATAGGGGAATACTTGAGGAAGATTTTGTCAGTGTTTTCCTGAGGAGCACTCTAGGAATTCACATGTCCCTCATGATATTTTGAAGTTTAAAAAGTATATGAAAGAAGATATCTTTATGAAAAAGATAATGGCATGATTTCTCAGTGCATTTGACTGTATACAGATGAAATTCTGAAGTTACATATATAGTTGTTATTTGGAAGTGGTACTACTGTGTTTATATTTTATTAGGACTCTGATTTTATATTATTCTGCAAATAGTAATGAAGAGCAGTACAAAGAGTTTTAGGTACAGGTGATTGTAATGTAGCCTGAATGAGTGAAAGAGTAATCCAGTGGAGATACTGAGATCTTGAGAGAGGGCAGTGAGCCCTGCATCATATGAAGACCTGTCAGTGACACAGTACATAGTGACAGGTCTCCAAGATTATTCCATCATGCTTTCCAAACTGGCTGAGCTCTACCTTGGCTTGTATGGGGCTGGTGAGAAGCCAAATTTCCTATGGCAAAGAAGGAGAACTTCTTTGGGTCCCTGTTACCACATGCTGTTCTTTCATTATAGCACTGGTAGCACAGAACTTGATAATGCGCTCCTTCTTTGGGTCCTTATCCTGACATGTATGTCGGTAGACATCATGAAATCTCTCAAAACACTTCTTTTTTGTTCTGATAGGTTTTGAAGTTCTATCTGGAGTGCTGCTTTAGGTCCCGGTGGGTTCCGTTATCTGAAATATTCCAAGTTCTCTAACTTACACCCTTCTCAGATTACTCTGAACTATTGATACATTACAATAGATAAAAGTCTCCCAAATTAAAATTAAATTACTTCACAGTTGGAATTCTCTGGAATTGATTTTAGCAAACTTTTAAGAAGGGCTTTGTGAAATTTTACTCATTAAACTTTTCTGTGAAAGCAGTTTTGAATATCTCAAAAACTTAACTTTTTGCCTGTAAAATTTTAAACATTTTAGGTGTTCATTTAGCATGACATGGGGAACGGACTTAACTTCTCTGTGCATCAGTGTCCTCATCTATAAAATGGTGTTGTCAGTAGTATCTATCTCATGGAGTTGTTTTGAGGATTTAATAAATTAATGTGTGTAAAGTGCTTAGACAGCACATAGTAAGTCTTCAATAAATGGTAGTTGCTATTATCATTATTTAAAGTCCCACGTGCTCAGATTTCTTGAGTATATGATCTTGTCCTTTACTTGAGCATGTTAGAGTTTTCAGTGTCAGGTCTGCACTTAGATCCTCTAAGTATTTTGAGGGCATATCTCATTACAGTGCCTGCATCCCCCGTCTTCATCTCACCATCATCTGACTGCTCTGCTTTCAGGTGCTCTCTGCCCTAGCTTTTCCTATCAGTCACAGTTAGTTATCTTTCTTTTACTATAGTCATGACCTCTCGGGGCCTGAAAAAGACATATGTTTATTATCCCTATTCTCTTGTTCAGTTTGAGTAGAATTCTTCTAAAGACACTGAACATCGCCTCATTTCCCAACAGTTCTTGCATCCCATCGTCTGATCTTTCCATATTTATGTCTGGAGGCAAATACATAGTCATGGGGAGAAAGTTCTTAGTACTGTCTTTCTCTTACTAGGAGAAAGTAAGGAGTTTAAGGAAAGGAGATGTTATCTTCCAAAATTAGATTAAAATATGAACTTTAAATCTGTAAATAAGTGCTGCCTTCTTCGTAGTGTAAATAAATGAGAAAATGGTTTTGTTTTCCATCATTGATATAGGAAAAATCAATTCTAACACATATAGGGGAAAAGGGGAAACTTGGAATAATAGGAATATAAAAAGGTAAGCTAACTTGACTTTAGAAACAAAGATCAGGGAACTTGAAATTTCATGTGCAAAATGTTTACCATAATGCCTGACAAATAGTAAATATTCAAATTAATGGTATTATCATTATTAGTACCTGACAGCATTAATCATAGTACTAATTTTCATAATAAATATAGTAGATATTTTTAAATAGATTTCATATTTGTAAATGAGAAGCTACAGAAGTTGAAGAAGTGAAAGAAAACAAATTTGTATTTAATTTACTGGGAGAAGCACTTTATAATTCTTTGAATTTTGTCAACAACCCTAGAGATTAGATAATCATTATTCCCATTTTATAAATGAGAAAACGCTCATGAAGCACTGAGAGACTGGTTCAAGGTTGGACAGCTAGTAGGTGGTAGAGCCAGGAATCAAATCTAGGTAGTCTGGGGGTTTCTGCTTCTGGCCATCGTAGAGTTTTAGGGACTGAATTTAACTTAAGGTGCTGACTAAAAACTGGGACAAAATATAGGAAGCTATGGTTTTCAGACACTAGAAAACGGGTAGTACGTACTAGACAGTGATCCCTAAAAGAAGGAAACAAATAAAATGAGCTCTGAGATTGCCTCATCTTATGTCCACCAGAGTGGAAAGGCTACCTAATGCATGGTGCATTGCATAGAAGACTCAGAAGGATTTTATCTCAGTAGTAGGGCCAAATTAGCCCCATA